AACATCAAAATTAAAAAGATGAATCTGAGGATGACCCTTCTAAACAAATTACGAAAGAAAGATAAGAAGCAGTCATGAAAGTTATTAGAAGAAAGCATTCGCGCGCGCGAGAACATCAGAAGAAATACATGTAGATCCGACAGGCAAAAATATAAACACATACCCGAAAAAACATTCAAAGCTTATGCATTCTGCAATGAGTCAAATGTTTGTAATCCCAAGGTGATCTTACCCGACCGATTCAGTTTTGTCTGCCCAATGTACACAAGAATGTCCAATGTAGATGAAGTTACGTAGATTAGATATTTTTGTTTGAAACATATAAATAATATTTAATCATTCCTATTATCGCGCGATAAAGACTTTTCCGTGTTGGCAATCATGTTTGAATCTTAAAACTATATAATTTTCCATTCCATAATCATCAGATCAGATTATTCTTCTTCGCATATTTAATCAAAGTATTGTTTCGCATTTCTTCTAATTGTAAAAATATTGCAATAAATGACCATATTATCAATGTTGATGGAAAATATCATACGTGATTATGAAAAGAAACGGCAGATATTTTAATCGCATTTCGATATCTGACCTGCTTTAAAGGGATAATTGAAATATTCTTTCTTATTTGATAACAAATATTTGATGTTTGTATAAACATATAATATCTTTATCTTTAATAAAATTAATTAATTAAAAAGGATAAGATCTCACAAATGCAGAATGACTACAAAATTCATACAAAATTTAGTTGCATTAAACGCCGATGTTAAAAGTTGTGTTCACAAATTCTTTGTCGAATACTTATGCTTTTTATTTAATTTCAGAATAGTTTCTGCTTAAATTCAATTGTTTTACTATACGTTACGTAAGTTGTGTATTTAGCTAAAATGATACCTTTTATCGTGCGATAAAGATATATACAAATATCTGTGCCTCAAGCAATAGCACATTCTAGTCGATAGACATTCTTCAATTATCATTTTTGCTGTTTCTTATTATCGGAATATTTCCCGTTTCCTCTAAGAGTAGCTAATGCAATAAAGTGTCAGCGTTATCGATCATTAATGAAAGATATCGTATCGATTTGTACTGTTAGCCATAACTAAAAGAAGTGACAAGTAATAATCAGTCGCATTTCAGCGTTAATCTAGTGTACTTTAAAGTATATGAAACTTTCTCTGTTATACAATTGTGAACGAAAAACGGATTATGATCGCATTAAAAATATTGTTCGTTCTATGCTCAGTCCATCCCCTCGTCAACGGGGTAGGTTTTCGAGGATTTACTTTTAAAGGTTTGGAGGAGCCAGAATCATTAACAAAAAATGTAGGCACGAATATAGTTGAAAGTTGGATCACTCAGCCTCTCGATCATTTCAATCATCGCGACAATCGCACTTGGTCGATGGTAATTATCATCGTTGCTCAAAAAGCTTGTTTTATTTAAAACATTTATTTTTTTTATTAACACTAATCGATTGTTGTATAGCGTTACAAAGAAAATTCCGCATTTCTGAAGAAAAATGGCCCTATACTGATCATGATCGGCGGAGAATGGGAGATAACGAATGGATTTTTGCAAGGTGGACTGATGTACGAACTCGGCGTAAAATACCACGGTTTGATGTATTACACCGAACATCGGTTCTATGGACAGAGCAGACCAACGAAGTATGTAATCCGTAGCACTTTCCCCATAGCAAAAAAGGTCACGGTAACGTCACAGTAAAGTCATGGTGACATGCGAATATCTATTTTGTCACAAGTTTAACGGTGTGACATCATAGCAGAGTCATAGTGACGTGTAAATTTCTGCTTTGTCACATGTGTGATATCGTTATGAAGCTGTGATAAAAATTGCACTTCATTGCGACACTCCCATGCTGTGATACTCACAGATTAAGTGATATTCACAGATTAATACGTAATATCACAGTAATATCATTGTGATTTTTTGATAATCTCATTATATCACAATTTATCCGTGATTGTAGCAGGAAATAAAGGAGTTACTTTTCCGTTGCTTTTACAGTTACTTTTTATAATAATAATTTAATAATGATGTTATACAATTGTGAACGAAAAACGGATTATGATCGCATTAAAAATATTGTTCGTTCTATGCTCAGTCCATCCCCTCGTCAACGGGGTAGGTTTTCGAGGATTTACTTTTAAAGGTTTGGAGGAGCCAGAATCATTAACAAAAAATGTAGGCACGAATATAGTTGAAAGTTGGATCACTCAGCCTCTCGATCATTTCAATCATCGCGACAATCGCACTTGGTCGATGGTAATTATCATCGTTGCTCAAAAAGCTTGCAATTTTTATGACTGTGATGAATATCTAAACGCTGAGGTTACGCTAAGATTAGGAAAGTCACTACGCGTTATTTATTGAAAAAAAGTAATAAATAACATTACAAGTTACTAAAAAATTATTTAAAAAATGACAATTTACAAATTGAGTTATTTTTTTCAGTAATGAATGGTCTTTCTAATCCATTATAAGTGATTATTGACTATATTAAACTAAGAATATCAAATTATAAATGTGAGTACACAATCAATAAGAGGTAAATGCTTTTTAACGATCTAGTTGATGGATCTTAAGTGCTTGTATAATTCTATGTAAATTTATATACTATGTACATATGTAATCCTTTAAATTATGGGTTAAAATGATTTTTTGGTCTTGAAACACAAATTCCACTGAACAACTATACCGCAATAATATCGCAAGTTAAATTGACTATAGTAATTTAATAATTCAAAGCTCATAAGCATCTTAGAAACGATCTTAATAATGCTAAATAATATAATATATTAAAATCTGTAAACAATTTTATTGCGAAAAATATAATTATTCCAACTCTGGTGTTACATTGTCATCATAAAAAATTCGCAACATCATTATCAAATTGTTATTACAAGATAACTAAATAACAAGATAAATAATTACCTAACGATAATTACAGTAGTTATTTTTATTCCCTGACTTATAATAAGTCTATTGTAATATAAATGTGACTTTTTTGCTATGAGAGTTCTTTATCGTTTGACATTTAAAACCGATCTTTTAAATTAATATTGCACGATACAAATTTAGAGACATTAGCACAGAGAATTTACAATACTTAAACGCCGACCAGGCACTTGCCGATCTTGCTTATTTTATTGACACGAAGAAAAAGGAAAAGAACTTAGAAAAGAGTATCGTAATAGTAGTTGGTGGCTCTTATGCTGGAAATATGGCGGCGTGGGCACGCCTCAAATACCCCCATCTCATCCAAGTATTGTTCATATTATTTTCTTATTTATATACTTATATCTTAAAGATGGAAAAGAATTGGTAAATTAGAGAAAAATATTTTTCACAGGGAGCCTTAGCCAGCAGTGCTCCGGTTCGGGCAAAGGCTGATTTTTATGGTAAATTATTTGATCGACTGATAATCCCTAAAAATATTACTAAAATTACTTGATTTCATAGAATATTACGAGGTCGTGACAGATGCACTCGGCAAATACAGTAAAACGTGCATTGAATCTGTTAAAACTGCATTCGCATCGGTAGAGGAATTATTAGCCATGCGAGCCGGTCCACAAAAACTTAAACTTCTCTTCAAGTAAGCTTAAACATGATTTGGAATCCACGTGCTATTTGTTAGTTAATACCTAATTTGCGCTCGGACAATAAAGTAAAGAGGACAAATAATTTATAATAATCAGAAATCATAATTTTTTATTATTATTAATTTTTTATTATTTTTTTTATTTTTTATTTTTTTTTTATTAATATCGAGTTTAGATTATGTCACGTGCCTGACGTAAGGTCTTCTAGTGATCTTGGTTACTTCATGAATACGCTGTCAGAGGTACGTGAATAATTGAAGATATTGCTTCATCTGTTTCTATTCATTTTTATTTGAACTTTAGATATTTGCCGGAGTCGTTCAGTATAATAAAATCGAGAATAGCGAAACAGGAATTGCGGCATTGTGTAATAAAATGACAGCTAAGCATTTAGGCAGCCCCCTACAGAGACTCGCGCGTATCTTTTCGAATCAGAAAAAGTGTAACGATGTAAATTATAATAATTTTCTAAAGACATATCGAGAGATTTCGTGGGATTCGCCGGCAGCCACGAGTATCAGTGAGTTGAAATAGCTAACAAGATAAATTAAATTGCACATCATATATGACACGTATTGTACAACAAGATGATGTTTATTATACAGTGAGACAGTGGTATCATCAGACCTGCACGGAATATGGTTACTATCAAACGACAAACTCAAATAAATCAATCTTTGGAAAGCTGTTTCCCCTAAATTATTTCATCAATTTGTGTACCGATTTGTATGGCGATTAGTAAGTACTTAAAAAATAGCGACCTAATATTTTCCTTCTCAAGTGTCATTTATTTCCATGTTCATAATTTGTACAAATATTGTACGTGATACAAAATATATCTTCATAAAGAATATAGATTTCTTTAAATATCAAATAATTTATTATCGAACTTATGATTACTTAATTATAGTTAGTCGAAGTATTGAATAAAGTATTGAATTATTTTCAAAGTGAGAAACGCTAAACTCAATTTTAGTCATAATAAAAAGATACTGGATTCACATGTGAGAAGGACGAATATAATGTACGGAGGAAAATTACCGGATTTACGAAACGTCATTTTCACAAATGGAAATAGCGATCCATGGCATCCGTTATCGGTGCTCCAAGATCTAAATGCCTTTTCACCCGCTATTGTCATTAATGGTAATTATGCAACATACTGAGAAACATTAGAACTCTGCATTTTTTTTTAAATATAAGAAGATAATATAATAGTGGATTATTTTAAAGGATCTTCACACTGTCGTGATTTATATAGCGATGTAACCACGGATCCGGACAATTTGAAAGCAGCTAGAGCAAAGATTCGTAAAATAATTGGCAAATGGATTTCCTCATAAAAGTTCCTGTCAAATATCTTACGAATATGCCAAAAATTAATGATGTTTTTCTGTTGTATTTTCTCTGTTGTATTAATTGTAAAATCTTAATGAAAAGTTATGTACAATATCCGATATATAGTGCGATTCTAAATAATACTCATCAGTTATATTATATTGCACATTATTATCTACATAATACAAAAATAAAATTATGTTTTCTTGATACCAAGGCTAATCTAAAAGTCTGTGCGATTTCCAAAATCTATATCATGATCCCGTGCTGCTTATCTCTAAGTAGAAAATGTATTTATAAGTAAAGAACATTTAAGATATTAATCGACTTCGAGTTTTCTAAAGGAGCCACTTATACCGCACATCGTAGTATCATTGGATCCCACGCTGGAACAGCCGAATCCTTGTTTCAATGCCGAGACCGCACCTTCTCGCGCTTTCTCCGAGTACAGTTCAAGACAGACATTCATTTTATCGTTGTTCAGTAATATTGGTTTCGATGCCAATAATTCTTTCCGCCATAGATCTGCATTGAAAAAGAGGATTTAATTACTTTATTATCTTTTTCTACGATGAAACATGAAACAACACGACGTATAATGCTCAAAGAATACAATATGAAAATGAATTACCGATCATCTCTTTCATAGGGATAGTACCGCCATATTCCTTAGGCAGCATAGTGACATCGAGTTTGTGATTAATAGCATCCTCGAGGCTCGTATAAATCTTCACGCGATTTCTGATCTTTTCGGAAATCAATGACATCCCGAAATCCAAGGCAAATTTTACTGAGGGATGTGAGTTGATCCCATAGATTTCTTTATGTCTCATCGGTACAGTGCGCTAAAAACGAATTGTTATTATTATCGTTACCATTATTATTTTAGTATACACATTACACAATTTTTTCTTCAAAATTACGATAATCGCGCGAACGAACAACAAAAGCAATTTTTTGCCTTAAAACATTTTCTGCTTCAAAACATAGATGAAATACAAAAAGTAGTTTCTTATATTGTCATTATACTCTATCATTTTAGTTAGAACTTTAATTTATATATATTCATATATCAGGAAGACCGGAAAGTAATGTCGATTTTTTTTAAATGTCTTTGGTACGACTTTGAAGTACACAATGAGCTGATAAATGACAAACGAATATCGACATGCGACAAACGACATTACTTTCCGGTCCCCTTAATATTATATTATTTTGTTTAATATATTTATATAAATAGTTTAAAACATTAAAATCTGCATGCAAGCTACATATACATTCTCAAACATTTAATAGATGAAGAACCACATTTACATTAAATTTCTAGTTTATATAATTTTATCATTTCTGATTTTATGTGTAATTATACACATTATAAATGTGAAATTTAAAATACATAACAATGGAATATATTTATAAGAAAGAATAATGAAGTAACGTGCATTTTTCGAATCGGTGATAATTTGTCTCTACGAAGATAAAATTTCTTCTATAATTATCAGCATTTACATTAATCAAAAACTATCTAAAAATATACAGTTATTATAATTTCTTACAAAAAAAAATCAAATGTTGCTTAAAAAGAAATCATTTTTTTTATTAAGATTAATTATTTTGGAAACCTGGATGTCCTAAAGAAATTTGACTTTGTGGCATCGTTTTTAACATTCAAATCTATGTATAAAAAACACCTTATCTAGTTCAAAATAATATTTTTGCTGCAAACTAGTGAGAGCGAATAAAATTTGATTCCATTTGTAAACTTTTTTTATATTTTTTTAGAAGTCTTTTTCTAGAAGGTAAAGTATTTTTTAGTTAAACAATAAAATACTTATGCAAACGTATATTTCCAAATTGATCTGCAGTATAGCAGAAAAAATACTGTTTCAATAATTTGTTAGTAGAAATCCATTTATATTCTTCATAACTCAACTCTTCATAAATAAGCTTTATTTTATTCTTTTTAAATAGGTTCTTAAAAATCTTTTAACTTAAATCAATTTCGTAATAGACAAAAGATGTAAAACTGGTTTTTATGTCTTATGTTTTGAAAAATTCTGAAATTTTGTTGCATGGCATCATCTAAACTCACAACTGAATCAATTATATTTCAATGAAGAAAATGAAACATTTTTGCGGAAATCAAACATAATAGTTTTGTTGGTTAAATAAGATATATATCAGAAATAAAAGAGACATAATTATCTGTAATTATTTGTAAAAAAATATTATCCTAAGTAATCAAATGAAGCAAATAATAAAGAATTTTAGACAAGATTTAAAAATGAATTAAACTTTAAATGAGAAGATTGTTACGCAAATATTTAAACGTCTATATTTGACTTAAAAATATTTAAGTAAATTTACAGTAATACTAGAAAATTAGAATTAGAAGAATTAGAAAATAATAAGCTTGGATTAAAAGATACTCCATTATTAAATTTATTATCTATTTGATTTCATTCATTAAACTTATGTCAATTTAATATATTTACGATTACATATATTTTATCTCACCTCGCCGTTTTTTACGATGCGCACTGCTTCTTTGGGAGTAAATAGTGTCAAATGAGGGAAACTAACACCGGCACCATCGGTGAAATGAACATAGCCATGCACTTGACTCTCCTCATCTTCCATTAACGTTTCGTAAGTGATAGCATGGATCTTGCACATGTCCACATTCGTGTATTTGTGAGGATCAAATACGCCTTGGACGGAAATTACATATACGAACGAATTACATATACGAATCAATAAACGTGACGAAGAGAAACATACAAAATTATTATGTATAGCTTTTTATGCACTTTTAAACTGTTTTACAGTTTTTGTAAAATAATTACGTAATAAATAGTATTTCATTGAAATAAACAAATTAACGGGAGAAGTGCAAAATTCCGAATATTTTCAATATTTTATATCTGTTATTTTACTTTACTATTAAATTTATATAATAACATTTATGTAATAACATTCAGCGTTCTGTACATATAAAGTACAATATAATATAAAGTACAAACATATACCTGGTCTAGCGATTATAACACGACGACCTTTTGCATCACGGCCGGGTGCAGCAAAGAGATATCTAAAAGAAGAGATTGTAAAATGGCCTAGTAAATAAAAAACTTAGAATAACATTTTAAAATATTGGCTGCGTTTAGCAGAGAAAACTAATTAGTGAACGCCATTAATTTTATATGAATTTTTTATGCATGTTCTTATATAACATTTTATAAATATTTTTTAAATATTAAAAAAATATTTTAATAATATTATTTCAAATAAATAAATTATAATGTAATACAGAATGTCGAAACAACAACGAACCAAATTATATTTAAAAAATTCTTAGACTCTCTTAATTAAACTAATAAATTAAGATAAGAGTGAACATATA